CAAAGGAAAAATTCGGCGCTGCGGCTGTCGCTGCGGCGGCAGTCGGGGGGAGCAGCAAAGCCGAAGTGGTCCGTGGAAAGAGACCAGTGGTCAGGTGCAGCAAGAAGAGACAAAGACCACTACGGAGAACACCCCACTTACAACTTTTTTGTTCTTTTTCTCCGCGGGCTGCGGCCTGCAGCAGAAGCAGCAGCAGCAGACACCGCCAGGCTCCTTGCTGCTGCTGCTGCTGCTGTCTGGAGACCCGCGCAGCAGCTCGTCCTCAAACACAACCCCGACCTCCGACACGTAAACCCTAAACCCTAAACCCTAAACCCTCGCCTAAGCAAAACCTCGCTACCGAACCGCCAGCAAACAACCGCACACCCACAGCAGCCACAGCAGCAGCAACAGCAGTAGCAGCAGCAGCAGCTGTAGCAGCTGCAGCAGTAGCAGCAGCGCGTAGAGTCTAGGGTTAGGGTGTGGGGTTTAGGGTTTAGGGTTTAGCTTTTAGGGTTTAGGGTTTAGGGTTTGGGGGTTGTGCGGCAGCAACTGGTGGCCCTCACTTCTTTCTTCGCCACTTCGATGTTCATCACCGGTTACTTCAACGACACCTACCAGAAGATTGTGGTACGCAAACCCTTAACCCTAAACCCTAAACCCTAAACCCTAACCCTAAACCCTCGACACCCTAATCCCCAATCCGTGGACCCTCTATCGCGAGGGCTTTTCGGCCGCGTCACATGGCGCTCCCGCTGCTGCCGCTCGCCCAGGGTTTGGGGTTTAGGGTTTGGGGTTTAGGGTTTAGGGTTTGCATTCAGGACTTGAGTTCTCTGGTGGAACACCAAGCCGCGAGGGACTTGGAAAAGGAAGGGTTTTGGAGAACAGCAGCACAAGAGAAGGAGCGGCGTTTGCTGCTGCTGCAGCAGCAGCAGCAGCGGCTGGAGAGCAGCTGGGCTGCTGCTCTTGCTGCAGCAACAGCAGCAAAGGACTTCAACGTCCTCTGCGCGCACCTCGAGCCCCAAACCCTAAACCCTAAACCCTCGACAGAACAAGAGGGCCCAGACGCAAACCCTAAACCCTTAGAACCTCTTCCCCCTTCTTCGTGGAGGTTTGAATTAATGCCTTATGGGGCAGATGCCCCGGAGGCCCACACCTTCCCCACGCCCAGCCACGAGATGGTAGGATTTAGGGTTTAGGGTTTAGGGTTTAGGGTTTAGGGTTTGGGTTTAGGGTTTGAGGGGGCGGTTTAGTTCGAGGCACGCAGCGCGAAGAAAGCCGGGCAGTGGTTCTGAGTGCGTTTTAGGGTTTGGGGTTTAGGGTTTAGGGTTTAGGGTTTAGGGTTTAGGTGTGGATGATTCAGCCGCTGCGTTCCTTCTCTCTCTCCTTCACCTCGAACAACCTTTCGGGCAACTGGGGCGACTACATCAACAGGTGCTAAACCCTAAACCCTAAACCCTAAACCCTAAACCCTAAACCCTAATTTTTGTGTTTGAGACGGGCTCCAGATGCTTGTGCTTTGCGGTTTGTTGAATACCTAGGCTGCAGGCTGTGGCTTCAGGGCTTAGGGTTTAGGGTTTAGGGTTTAGGGTTTAGGGTTTAGGGTTTAGGGTTTGTTCTTGCGCGCAGGCAAGACAACAAGAATGCCATAATGCGGCCCTCTCGCGTGATGTTTACTGACGTCTTCATCCCCACAACAAAATAAATAAATAAATAAATAAATAAATAAAACAAATGAATAAATAAATAAATAAGAATAAATAAATAAATAAATAATAAAAAGAAATGGACTCGAAAAGCGTCAAGTGATCTGCAGCGCCCAAACGACCTTCTTTTACCTCCTCGCCCAAATCCTACACCCTAGCACAAACCCTAAACCCTAAACCCTCAACATGAAACGCTAAACCCTAGCCCCACAGCAGCATTCTTCAGTTTGAAAACCTCGAGGGTTTAGGGTTTAGACCCTAAGATCTGCCTAAACCCCACAAACGGCCCCGCGCCTAGGGGCCCCCTAAGCTCTAAGGGGGGCCCCTATGGGGGCCCCCAAGGGGGGCCCCTATGGGGATCTCCTATGGGGGGCCCCTATGAGGGGCCCCCTATGGGGGCCCCTACAGGGGTTTCCAATGGGGGCCCCTAGGGAGGCCCCCTATGTAAACCCTGTGGGGGCCTCCCAAAAGGGGGCCCCACAGGGGGCCCTGTGAACATAGGGGGTCCCTAGAAGGGCCTGGGGACCCCTTAGGGTTTGGGGCCCCCTATAGGGGGTTTAGGGGGCCCCCTTAGGCTTGGGGGCCCCCATAAGAAGCCCGACGGGGCCCCTGAGACCCAGGGGCCTCTATAGAGCGCGTGGGGGGCCCCCGAAGGGGTCCCCTGTGTGGACTTTGGGGTTTTTGGGACCCTTGAAGGGATTAGGGTTTAGGGTTTAGGGTTTAGGGCGCATTGAACTGTTGTACTCTGACTTGGGTTGAGTTTAAAGGCTAGGGTTTAGGGTCTACAGGCGGAGGGCTTCGACGGTACAGCGAGGTCTACGGTTTAGGGTTTAGGGTTTAGGGTATTGCTTTGAGCAGGCTCAGTACTTCTGCGTACTTGTTGTATAAGAGCAAGATCTGCCTGCCGGGTTTAGGGTTTAGGGTTTAGGGTTTGAGTTGGCGGCGCGTGACTCTAGGGTTTAGGGTTTGGAAGGTGGTGCCGACTTGAGGTTTTGAGAAGGAGTGTTAGATGAAATAACTCATGAAATCAAACAAAATAAGTCCTTTTAAAGTACATCTACTTTTTATTTAGGGTTTAGGGTTTAGGGTTTGGAGTTCAGGGCCTTCCTGGGGGCCCCGGGCAGCAGCAGCAGCAGCAGCAACAGCGGCA